CTGTCACCGATCACCTCCTTATTTTCCATGTGCCTTAGCAGATTTTCCAGGAGGATCTGCTCCATGATCTTTCTGGGCACAGAGGTGAGACTGACCTGTGACAGCCTTTGGTTCCCCAGGGCTTCCTTTTTTCCCCTTTTTAAAAGTAGGGGCTATGCTTCCCTTCTTCCAGTCAGTGGGAACTTCACCAGACTACCACGACTTCCCAAATATGATGGAGGGTGGCTTGGCAACTTCATCCGCCATTTCCCCTGACGACCCACAGATGCATCTCATCAGGTCCCATGGACTTGTGCACCTTCACGTTCCTTAGATGGTCTCGAACTTGATCTTCTCCTACGGGGGATGGTTCTTTGCCTTCTGCAACTTGGGCGGTGTGGCTGGAGCCCTTGCCAGTGTAGGCTGAGGCACTTTGCTTTGTTGTTTGATGTGTTTGTTATTAAGAAAATGAGGGATAGATCTATACTTTTGACATGTATCAAGCATGTGTAAGCATGATATCCCATCTGGCTCTTTGGAGTTAGAGACTTCTTAGGAGGAAAAAGGCCACCTAACATTAACAGGCCAGTGAGCACTCCCGTCAGTAATCGGATCAACCATCCTGATCTCAGTAATTTTACCCAGGCTGGTTGCCAAGTTTAAGAGAGATAGATAAATAAAAATTAAACCATCTGGTTTTGAACAAATATGCTATCTCAGCCCAAGGCAAGCAGCAAGAGCACTGTCTGGAGGAAGATTTGTTTCAAAGCGAAGGACCAGGGTTTGGGCTTGGAAGGGTCATAAAAGTGCAGAAGGAGACTTGGTAAGATTAGAGCAGTTAGAAAGTGATTTGATTCACTCTGGATTTACAATCCTGAAAACCTACACAGAGCTGGTGTCTGAACTGTATCGGTGCTTCAGTCTCTACTGTTAAAGTTGTCTTTGTGGTGTCTGAAGGTCTTCGGTCCGTTGGCACCTTCCTCTCAACCAAATAAAGCATTACCGATGTTCACAATGCATTTCCTCCCTTATTGCCAGGACAGGTTGATGCAGTAGGTGTGCTCTCAGAATGCATTAACTTTCAAAGCTCGAGGAGATTTCTGCGTTCTTTCAATCTGCTACAGAACTTACCACTAAAACGTCTCTTCTTTCTTTCTAAAGTTGCAGGTTTATACCAATGTGTCGCTCATCTCGAAATTTTTTTTATTGGTGTGGAAAATCTGAAGGCCTAAAGCCTTGTGTCCTGACTCCAGGACATCAGGATAAAACAGCAGGTAAAGTGTTTTAACTACCAGGAAAACTTTGATAACGTGGTGTTTGTGATACAGCTCTATATAAATTAAAAATTGCATAGGATTTTTAACTGGGCCTCAGTTGACCTGTTAATGACTCTGTCTTTCTGACATTCACAATTAAAATTTTACAGGCAAACAGCTATAGTTTATCTTGTTGCCTATCTTTAAATGCAGCGTGAGCAGGTTTCAATGTGACTGTGAGAATGCATAGCTTGATCCCCGCTCTCTGATTTTAGCAGTCTTTGAGCCAATTACTGTGCCTCGTTTGTAGGGAGGAGCAGCCTGTGATGGGGCGTAGGTGGAGAGACCCGTGACTTGGGTTGGAGGCGGGTGCTGCCGCCGTGTCTTTCTTCAGGAGGACAGAGCAGGATGATGGCAGCTGCCGTCATGAGCATTATTCTGCTGAAGGTTGTCTGCTCATGGCTAATCTGACTCTTGTTAGATTAAAACCATGTATTAAACCCAATGTTTTGACTCCAAGCCCTAGGGAAGCTTTTCTCCGGAACGACTGGGGTTTAATGAAGGCACTCACTCACTGGTGACTCGATGACACGGCTGTGATGAGAGGTGAGGTGACCGTATAGAATGGAACCCGAAAACAACATCTTGTGTTAGTCCCTTCCGTTGTGCTCACTTTGATGTCAGCGAATGCAGTAAATGCACACTGCCACTGGTCACCGTACCTGTAATTTATGAAGAAACTTTATTTTCAATCTTTTTTGGGAAAAAAGTTTTAACGTCTTTTAAAATTAAATTCTATTCTGGCAAGAGGTTATACAGGACATTTGATGAATGTTTTCATGTTAATTTAGTGCAATTTCTTCTGCTTGCCTAAGTATTTAAGCAGGAATTTCTTTTGGCACGGTAACCTCTTTACTAAACCCTGAGCAGGAAGGGCACTTAGAACCTACTTCCTCGGAAGACCTCAAGCCATATTCTTGTCTCTTTCTTGAAGCTCATATGACAACGGCAGTATCTGCTCCCTCCTGGCTGACGCGTGTGGCCGTATGGAGCTGCCTGAAAGGGCGGGCACAGCAAGAGCTGGAGAAGGATTGTGACAACAGAACCGCTGACCCACCTCGCCTTCTCGCTTCAGAAACACGAGGAGAAGGTGACGCACAGCGTCATGGCACAACCCAGCTGCAGAGGTGAGTGACTGACAGCCGTAGCAGCTCCTTCAGAGCCAGACCCTCAAAGACTTCCCCAGTGTCCACTGGCAGCTGACACTTCACTTGTTAATTGCTTGATTGTAGCGATGAAATTCCTAAAACACAGAGACTCCAAATCCTTCGTGTCACCTGAGCATTTATTTCTCTTTGCCTTCTGAATTCATGCAAATTCTGGGTTCTAGGAGCCATTTGTAAAGGGGCAAAACACCTCTTTGTCTTGCATAGATAGGAGGTGGATTTCTGTTTTAACCAGGGACTCCCGATCTCGGAAAGCTGTAGTAATACGTGGTGAAGGACATCTTCATCCAGTGGAGAGGAACCAGACGAAAATGTGTTAATCGTGTTAGATGCCAAAGAGTGTAGCAGTTTGTGCAGGTTCAGTAGGGTGTGGAGCTATGGTAGCTGCTTTTTTCTTGTAAAAATGTACATTTTATATTGCAGAAAAAACTGTTCTTAAAAAAAAGCTAGGTTGAAAATCATCATTCTTCCTTTTGAATAATACATATAATGCTCTTGTCTTATTATAGTGAAATGTACTTTTATTTTTAAATCTGGTAACGAGAGCTACTTCACTGTGGTTGAACTGTCATCTTTTTGGTTCATTTCACTGCAAGAAAAATAAGACTTTTGATCCAGAAATGACAACAAGATTTCCAATTAGTAGCAAGTAACAGCCTCCTTTACTGATTACTTTAAAATAACAACAAGGTCTTTCAACTATTCACAAATATTTCTGACATATTACAAAGTAACATTAGAGGAAAAAAAAACCAAGATCGTATTTGAAGCGAAGTAGTTTTAAAATGTTTACAAATGCATTGTTTTTTCCTTTTCAAAATGTTTGTTGATACAGTTTTGCAGGAGACTATCTGTTTGGTCACATAAACTTCTGCTGTATGTACTGTGCTTTGTCCTAGGGGACAAAATTGAAAAGTATTTCCAAAACAGTAGTTTGTCTGAAACAGGGGTTTGGAATGAGGCCTCTAATGGTCTTGCAATTTTGTCTCTGTGGATTTTGTACAAGGCTTAATGTGAAAATTTTTTTTATCATGTTTTTATAACATGATATGAAGCTGACATTTATTTTACATTGTATTTACGTATTTTAAAGAATCTGAGACTTATTTCTTATATATATACATTTTTGAAGCTTTAAGGCTGTGCCACTAACAATATTTTATCAATCTCTTGTCATTTTCTTAAATGCTACAATTACTTTGTGAAATCTAGAATCGTTAGCAGCAATGATGTTGTTCCTCCTCTAAAAAATCCCTAACCAAACAGAAGAATTCCCTGGGAAACTGCACGCCACATGCATGATACGTAACTAAAAAACGAGTCCAAAGTTCTGTTAAATATTTAGTTCCAGCTAGAGCTAATAGTTGTTCTAGTTCTAAAGAATAAAATGTTTATTATATACAGAAGAGTCGGATGGGACGCGGACATTTGACAAGGGTTGCTCAAGGCATTTCAGGGTCTGAGTTGTTCACACAGCATTAGCACAGCTGCCCTTTTTGCTGATGCGTCGGCTTGTACCACCTGCGGGAGGGGAACACTCCTGGTAGCGTCAACGGGCTCAGTCGTACAAGATGCAAGTTACCTTCTCCGGGCTGCTCAGTCTTCAACGGATTCTTGCAGGACTGAGAGCCCTTTAGCTTGCTCCTGAGCTAAATGCAAACTCGTACAGCGTTATCAGATGCCAGTTTACATCAGGTAAGGGTTTGGTCTTTTGCCTTCAGCGTATTACAACGTGAAAAACTGCACCAGCGTTTTTCAGTGAGCACCATTAACTGACTTTGGTAACGTATCCATTGGCACGACCAGCGGGATCAAAGAATATGCTGCCTTGTACACTAAGAAAGCACGGCTGCCAATTACCTTGCAACTACAGTCTGTAAATATTAGAAACATAAATATGTTAATAACCATACACATATACACAAAACACAGCAGCAGCAATATTACAGGATGCAGCGCCTACTCTATATAACTGCTTTTTGTTAATACAGATGCAACACCAAAATAAATGCGATTTAATATGAAGCAATCCCTTCTTCAAAGGTCAGCGGCAGTAAGCCATAGTTCAGGTCCAGGCTTCTGCTAATCGGAGGTGACTCTGAAGCTAGATCAATCCCACTGTCTCTCCAGTCTAATCAATGAAAGAGTAGCACTACGGGAAGACAATGACTATCAGTTAATGCTACACCTTTTTAAGCTGGAGCTTTCTTTTGCCACCCTTTGTAATTAATTCTCCCTTTTTCACAAGTGCTCTTTGTGTGAGCGCTCACCAGGCTTGACAGGGGCTAAAGCTATTACCTACAAAATATGTTTTAGGGGTAAGGATTCATAGGAACAACCAGCATGGGATTGGATTTCCTGAATCCTGGGAGGTGCTCTCCATGTTTGAAGTGAAGTTTCAGTGAGATTGCACTTAGCAGACCACTAAAGAAGTTGTCCTTCTCCAACAACTTCTTTTTCGTGCAGTTCTGTTTCAAAGCTTGGTAGGAACAGCACGAGAAGGGCTAGAGGAGATGACTGTGCTGGTCCATCATCTTTGCTAATGGTCTTCAGAGCAGCGTCCTCTCCTCAAGATCACGTCATCTAGTCCAATATCCCCAGTTCTCGCTTTCCCTTTCTCCCCTTTGAAAATAACCTGGGAAGAGAAATAGAATGATTTGAGTGCAAAAATTAAGTAAAATGAAAGAAGTTTTGATTGAGAGAGGTCTCGCCAGTAAGAAAGCAAAAGCATAAGAAAGCTCAGGCAATCGTAACTGACTCACAAAAGCCTATTTATTCTGCTCCGAATTATGGCTGGTTTTTCTGTCTCTGATCCTCTCCCTTCTTCACTTTGGTAGGATCTTTGTGAAGAACCAGCAGTTCAGGACAGAGTTGTTCCAGTTGCACCATCTGCTGAGGTGAGATGAACTTCCAGATAAGAGAATCTCAGGCACTTTCTACATACCATCTCTGCACTGTTTTCATCGTCCCTCATGGTAAACACATTGCCTCTGTGTTGTGAAAAATGTTGTCTAATAGAGGAGCTTTCCATGCTAAAGCCCCTTGCAGCTGCCTTAGTTGTGGGAACTAGAAACACCCGTCTTTTATTTAACAAATTCTGGCTCCTGCAGACTCGTGGTAACCTGGCTCCTCACAAAATGGTGGCAGAAGTTTGGGCATGGATTTACAGAGATCATTAGCGGTCCGGATTTAGCCTGAGTAGGAGTTAATTCAACAAATATAAAGCTTGACCACGAGGGCTGGGACATAAATCAGAGATGACATACAGAACGGACAGCTGACTTTAAGAAACACTTCCCATAAATCAGTATTGTTCACCTGTGCTACTGCTGTAAATTCACATTTCTGAACCACCATGGCTTAAAAATTATTCAAAGCCTACAGCGAAACTTTGTAAGAGTCTGCTGTTATCACTGAGCTGGAAAGATTCAGATTCAGAGATCAGAAATTCAGCTGTGCAGTTAAAAATAATATGGATTCTTGCTGAAAGCACACTTTGAAATAAGGAACAGGAATGGAGGATGTCAGTCTATGGAATATACTGATTTTTTTTTCGTCATTTTGGGTGTATTTTTAAAATAATTTACACAGAGCTAATTCATTAGAAAGTGTGATGAAGGATTCTGGTCTCCATTCCTATTCTTCTCAAGGTTTCCAGCAGGCCCTCCCTAAAATCACTAGCGTTGCGTTGGTTTGGGCTTTTAATTCGCTAAAAAATAAAGCTTCCATATTTCCTCCTGATTTCTCTGTGGCAGAGGCCTTCCCTGCTTACCTACAGTTTTCTCGCATTCCCTGACCCTTGGAATAAGTGGTTGGGGTCAGCAGCCCAGGCTGCCCGTGCTGGCTGGGAAAGATCCCAAACTCAACTGTTCCGTAAGATGCCACGAGGCAGCTCTAGTCTGTGGACCAGTAACGGTTGGCAAACCGTGCTGACCGCTACTGCTGAGGTGGTCAAGAGGCAGAGGACACCGCAAAGGAGAACTGCGGGTCTTGTTTGGGGTCTCTAAAACTCATTTGCTTTTCTGCCAGCAAACATATTAGCGATACACACTTATTTAATGAACGACTCTGTCAGGTGAGACCGAGCTGAGGATTGCCAGAAGTGTTGAACTTTGCAAAAATGGGTAAGAATGGGGCAAATATATTGTTCACCTGTTAGGAATTTCCACATTCTCAGTCTGACATTCATGTACAGCTAACAGAAGGTCAGGCATCTTTGTTACTGTTGCTGAGGTAAAGTTTTGAGACAATTATGTGCGGTAATTACAGCCTTAATATTAATTTTAGAACTATATCCTGTGTGTGTTGTAGCCTGCTCCTACCATGAACATTATGATGTGTGAGCTTTTTAGACCACCTGACATGTAAGTCAGAGCAGAACAGGCCCTGAAGCACCCAAGCCTCTTCTTCAGATCTGAAATAGAAACTACCTTCAAAGCCAAGCAGAGGTTGAAGAAAAATGCTGAGCTTTTGATATCGGTTTATCACCCAACGTTTCTAAGATTTCCAGGTATTAAAAGATTCTCCATGGCACTTCAGACAGCTTCTTTTGATTGCTCTAAACCATTTTGTGTTCTTGGCATAGTTAGGTCAACATTTACCTCCTTGGCCAGATCAGCTGCAGGTACGCTGAAGAGCATAAAACCATGTGAGATTGCAGATGTAAAGTTGCTGTGTTATCAAAATGACTCATTTTCAATATCTGTGCCCTGGTTTGGCCAGTTACTAATCCACAGGAGACGATTCTTTCTATTTCGTGGCACTGTATTACTTAAAGCATTGTTTAGGAGGAATCTTGATACAGGCTTTTTGGACATCCGTGCACAGTGGGTCACTGTCCATTAGACTGCTCTCTCCTGCATGGTGATTCCCTTAACACGTGCTGTATGAGGTAGCTCCATATGGGCTGTTTCGTCATTTCCTGTATGTCTATTGCTGTAGGTGGGATTTTTTTTTTTTTTTTGGCATAAAACTAATCTGAAAAAATGCCCAATGGCTGTCTTGTCCTTAATGTGATTCCATTCGCAGGGATCAAAGTAGTAGAACACAGGCTGAAATTGGACCCAGAAGACAAACAGTCCAGTGCAACACCATCTAAGTGTCTTCAGCATCTCACGCAAAAAATCCCAAAAGGCAGCACATGCACAGGTACTTACACTCTTGATGCCTCGTCCTCGTAAAGTTATGTGTGTCTGTCTCCAGCCATGGCCACCGTTTCTTCCCCAGACAGCTGGTCCGTGAGCACCGTTTTTCCTTACGAAGACTTGGAGGGCACCAGAATGCAGTCCGGACACCTTATGCCTAAACGACAGGCACAAGTCCCCGGCCTGAGCCATGTGACCCAACGGCAGGATAAGATGCGCTACTCTTCCTTCTTTGCCTTTGGGGTCAGGGATGGTAAGGTACTGTCCCCCTGCAAAAAGAAAAAACAGTTACGTTTTGGGCTTTTTTGAAATTCTACCATGTTGCAGGACCAAATGCACAGGAGTCATTACAAAATCAAAAAATAAAAAAGGGCTCCACAAGGTCGAGTCTTAAATAAGGCATAAAGTTGCCGGAACGTGAACCAGAACTGATGCGTCTTCCTTCTGCAGGGTAAGATTTACGCTGCTGGTCTGTTTACATTAGTACCAGGTCAGGTCTTGCCCATCTAATTTCTTTTCTACGAAGCAAGTAATACCTCTTTTGAAAATTTCAGATATTCCTTCATTTCTGCCAAATGGTGGCTGCACAATTTTAAACCCGCAGTAATATTAAAGCTACTGTGTACATTTACGCACCTCCTAAGCTGCATTTTTTTGCTACTGGATAGATGAATGAGAGGGCCAGCATAAAAGTTATCATGTAATTGAGCTACGGGTCTGTCTCTTTCCTTTCGTTTGGGAACTGTGTTAACAAGTCTCAAAGCATATCCATTTGCAAACACAGATAGCCTTTTTTTTAACCACTATTTAAACTCTTAATATGGATTAGATACAGAAAGCTAGAAACAGTAATGATTTCCAAGTGGCTGCTAACTTCATACGCTCCCTGAAGTCTTCTCTAACAGTAGGAAGTTGTCAGTGGACATACATGCTTAATTCAAACACTGTTATTATCTCTGATCATGTATGAAGTAAAGGTGCCTTCATAAAACCACCTAGAACGTGAAAAGTAGAGGATCTCAGGTATGGCAACGTGCATTAACACCACCCCCCACCCCCCCTCCCCCCAAAAAGGGCACATACGTCCATAAATCCACACAGGCACTCAAAACTACCGTCAATGGAGATTTTCTTGGAGAAAACCCACGTTTGTATTTTTGCTTTGTACTTTTCATTAAAACTTTTGCAAGGTGGATGATAACTTTAAAATTGGAAATTACCAGAGGAAGGAGGGTTCACTTTTAAAAAATAAAAATTAAAAAGATTCTTATCTCACGCTGAACCTAAGAATCTTTTTTTTTCAACGAGTTTTTAATTTTTTTTTTCTTAAAAAAAAAAATCCAGGTTTAATGAACTGAAGGTATAGGTGGCATTTAGGCTACTTAGTTGAAACTGATGTAGTAGAAACATTGGGGGTTTGTAATATTGTTGACAACCAGAGCCTTTACTTAATTATAGAACAGAAAAATATTTTTCATTTAAATTGTCGCCCTGCTACTACTCAACCAGAGCTATATTTTTTGAAAGCTTCTTTTTGAAAGCCACAATGATTTCCCTCAAAAGCTGTGAGATTTTAATGCCGAAGTACCAGGGCTTGTCACACGCTTAAAAGGAAAGCCAACCTTGTCTCCAATTCACTGCTTCCACAGAGGTTTGTAAATTCTTTGGTCTCCATGAGATTGAACAAAGCAAAGTATTATGCTGCTCTCTGGGGCCCCGGATCTGCACTTGGGCATGAAAAGTGGGACTCATTTGTCCAGGGACCTGTTAAAATGTTTTGGGGGTTTTTTGGGTTGTTTTTTTTTTTTTTTTAATGCACTGTTTTTGCATCAAGGTCACTCACCGCTAAAATAAGCATACTAGAGTTTAAATAACTGCACCTGTTTGTTGTAGATATAACTATATCACTATAGAAGTACTGACTTGACTCATTACCTGCATCTGTTTCGGATAGTTACAGTGACTGAATCCAATCAATAGGAAACAGATTTAGGTAAGCACAAAGCCAACGTATTTGTAGGCAAGCCCCTGCAGGAAAAGGTCCCCTCAAATCAGCATTCTCTGCCTGCAAGATAAGCTTGTAAGGCTTCAGCATTGCACCTTTCAAAATGCAGATTCTGATAAACCAATAAATAGCAACCTTTGAAAGGTGAAAGCAAACACTCAGGAACAAGCTGTGAAAATAAATCCTTCCAACAAGGTATTCCAGACAGGAGGGAGTGGGTGGGTGACTTCAAGGGACTAGTTTTAACAGGTTGTGTCAACAGCAGCAGAACATACACAGGAAACAAAAAGCCGAGATTGTCCCTGACCGGGAAGCAACACAGGACAGAAAAAAAAAAAAAAAGTTAAAAAAAAAAAAAATCATTGTTCTGGAACTTCATTAGTATTAACAACAGTTTTTGAATACAGGTAATAAATATGCTTTGAGTGACTTTCTCAGAAACAAAACGCCTTTAAATCCATTGTTTCAAAAAGACTTTTGAATTATGTGTGATCTTCTTTTTTGTGAAATGCCAGTCTGCAAGCAGGAGCCAGCTACCTGTTTTCTCACCTGCCGGCGGAAGGAGCTCTGCTCTCTGAGACATTCACGAGACTTTCTAAGCGTGGTAAGGAGCATACGAACTGCTAGAGCGTGCCTGTGGGTGGGTAGGGGGCCGGCAGCACCTCCGCTCAGCCAGCTCCAGAGCCTGAAAAAGGTGCCAGGTCGCCTGCTGCGGCGGCAAATGACTGTCTGGTCAATGGCAGGGTATAAGGACAGACATCTGTGATGAGGTGGTGCATAAGGAAAATGGCTCTCGGTGCCCTCGCCCTCCCTCAACTTAACCTATAACATTTTAGCGCCTGAGAGCGCGTTTCCTTCCGAAGTCTGCCATCCCCTCACACAATGTAAGCATTGTGCACTTCAAAGGCTGCTCTTCTGGGGATGAAGTAATCCCATCGTTACAGGCAGCCAGAGATGTGTGTCTAATCCCCAGCACTGCTGGGGCAGGGTACGTAGGCAAGGACAGCCCGCCTCTCGGTGCCAGACAGTGAAATCCACAGGGGACAAAACAGGACTACCTTTCAGCACCGCAGAGGTGCAGCTCTGCCGGGACTACGTGCCAGAGGTGTGCGAGTGGAGGGGCGGCTGCTTTGGCTGACCAGCAGTGCCGCTGCCAGGCTCCTCCTATCCCGCAAGCGGCTAGCGAGCGCTTCCCTGCAATAGTCGTCGCAGGGTCACTTTTTACCATCCCAAACGTACCCATTTTCAGAAGTCTCACTACCTAACTTCTCTTCCTTCCAGTTAGAGTAAGTTTTCCTATATCCAGGTTGCCGTAACTTAGACTAGAATTCAGTAAAATCAAACTGAGAGGTTAAACTAGAACATTGTATTTGGCAGCAGAACAAAGACTATTTCCAGCACTTTCTATAATTTTGCTAGTAATACAGAAATAATTATGTTTGCGTGGTGGTTTGAAAAATAAGCTTTGTTTTACCATAAATAAAAGTTGTTCTCTAGTCCACATTTTTGTTCTGATTCTTTTAAGACAGAAAATCCTTTACTGAATACATTTACTACTCCTTCAGAGACATTCCCATTGTAAAGTTACCAGCTATGATAAAAGTGGAAATTCTCAATCACTCTTTCATGTTGGCAATCCTCAGTTTTGATTTTTATACACAGAAGTGTGGGTGTGAAATACATCCCAGAACTAAAGGGAACAGAAGCTGTGTAAATTCATCATAATACGAGAACAGTCATCAACCTCGAGCCTGTGTGGTTCGGTTCTTCAACTACAGGATGCCATCGTACACGGGTATCTTACCTGATGCATCTCTCACTGGGTCCCAGTGCAAGTCATCATCTCTGTCCTTGATCCATCCGCACAGTCCACTATCAAAATTACAGCTGTGTACCAGCACACCTAGGCAGAAGGTCAAAAAAAAAAAAAAAATAGTGATTTAGATTGTTTTGGTTTGGGAACTGCAGCAATTTCCCTTGTGGCTGACACTAGCCGGTAAATATGAAAATTAAATGCAGGAGCACGAGAAAAAGAATCTACAAAAATACTAAAATAAAACCAAGGATTGCTATTACTAACAATTCACACCATTTTTGTGCTAAAACTGTTAGGAAATAAAACTATAAAGTTTCACTTAGGTGGTAGGGTTTTTTTCTTTTTACAAAGCATAGTTTAAACAAGATGTAGTAGTACTGTAAAAATGTATAAAACCCCAAGAAATCTCAAAAAATCCTAAACCCCAGGCCCTGAACAGGAGACGTGATCTTTACCTGGGTCATCGTTGGCTTCAAATTCATCAGCAGTAATCCCTCTTTCAATTTCAAGTATTTCAAACAGATTATTGCTCACTCCAGGCTGGCGCGGAACTGTGAGAAAAATAGTTTTTTCAGAAATGAATGAGATAAAGGAAATTAGTGACCTACTTCCTTATCTTTAAGAAAAAAAACAGCAGAGCAGCTCTGGGCATTGTGCTTTTTTTGGAGAATTCAATATATTTAATTATATTTAACACAAAGAGTCATAAACTTTATGCCTATGTGATTTATGATTTATGTTGTAACGTTTATCTGAGCACTGTAAAAGGTGATTCCAAATCTGTGAAAGGCTCTTCAAATGAAAGCTCCTTTTTAACCAGGAGAGAAAAAAAAAAAAAAAAAGAAAGAAAAAAGCTTTAACCTTGAAGCACACCATTCCCCTTCCATATGGACTTTTAAAGGCAGTGGATTCTCAGTAAAATCAAGCTACATTAAAGCTCTTGCTCAAACTTTCTGATCCACTCACCTTCCACAGATGTTTATAGGAGAATCTCAAGAGGAGGCGGTGGTGCCTGGAAGAGGTGCCACACAGCCCTAACCTTCCCCGCACCGCTGAAGGTACATCCACCCAACAGCAAAGGATTAGCGCTCCCTAAACAATTATCAGGATTGTACTGAGAGCTGAGAAGGAAAAGCGCTAGTAGATGCTGGAATTCAACTGTAATTATACGTTGTGCTTTCCAACACAGTCTGTCCTTCAGTTGCTGTCCTCAGCTACAAGAAGGAACACTCTCGGTGATTAACAAGCCCAGAGGTTGTTAGACAATCAGCAGCCAGGAAACCTTAAATTTAAGAGGTCTCTGTGGGAACGATGGCTGCCAAAATCAGGTGTCTGCAAAGACTTCCACTTACTTCTGAAGACGCTGTGCCAGTCTGTATACGTCTCCAGAAGTAACACACCGATGTCGTGCCTGATGGACAGCTGTCAACTAGAGATAAACAGATTGCACTGGATAGAGCTGTCTTGGAAATTCCTCTTTTAGAGGCAGGTCTGGCGCATAATTAATAACATTAGTAACATGTTTCAGACATCTCCTTAAATGTTAGAGACACCTGTGACACCTACAGTATTTGTGAGGGCCTTATCTATTAAAAACTTGACGTGTTTTCCATTGGCAGTGCTAAAATAAGTATCTTAATGTCTCTATAGGCTTCTTAGGCAAGTGAGAACAAGAAGAATTGAGACGATTTACAATTCTAAACTGAAATAGAGGACTGTTGTTTTCAGGAAATCAAATCAAAGGTAGGAAGACCTTCGTTTGCACTAGGACAATGCCTAAATAGCACTGCCGCAAGAGCTCCTGTAACGCTAGAAGACAGAACAAAACAAAAAGGAAGAATGAAGTAGCTTTCTGCTTTTTGGAATTAAGACAAAATAAGCAGCCTGATAAAAGGTCGACCAAATGCTAATGTATTTTAAAAGTAATATTATAGGCTACAGATCTTGGGTGGAAATTTTGTCTAATAAAAATAAATACATAAAAAGCTTGAAGTCTGGATACATTGTTTGTAATAATAATTTTGCTGCTTTGTTTAAGCTGGTTTTTTGCTTGCGGGATTAGAATTTAGAGATTTAACATAAAGAAATGTTACACGTGCACAGCCCACACCACCTATGCCAATAATCACCCTGCAGTACCGTTACATGCAAATACTACATCAAATATACAAAGAAAAAAAAAATCTGTTTACCTCAGACAGCAAAAAAAAAAAAAAAAAAATCAAAACAGGAATGCTCTAAAACCATCATTCACCTTAATCCCAGCAGTATAGTCCTGTCTTTCCCAAGAGGTGTATCTATCTCTAGGCGGGACAGTTGAACAAGCACATCGTACAGCTACAGTCACACCTGCAGAGGTGCGTATGACGCTGCAAGCTGTTCTGGCACCTAACAGTACACACACGCTTACGCAGCTCTAACTGCATTACAGGCACGGACAACCACCGCCACTGTGGTACACGCAGCAGCTAGCGGCACCACTTCAATTCAATTCTGTGAGTTTGCTCAGGAATGTTCAAAACTAGTAATTCAATTTCTTGGGCTTACTGTGGCCAGCCACCGGGGACAGCAAAGTTTGCAGCAGTATTTACTTACAAAGCCTGATGAACTAACAGCATCCTGCAAGTTACTTGCTGTCATTTCTGGCAGGACAGTTCTCTGACTGAAATTTTGCCTTGGATACGCTCTCAGAGTGGAGTTTCGCCTTGCAAAACAACCACGCTGCTGCTCCCCGTGGAGTGCAGCAGTCCCCACGCGTGAGACACATCTCTGCTGCACCCCCAGGGACTACCACCTCACCTTTCTTCTTCTCAGACTGCGCTAAGGAAAAAAGATACCGTTCATTTCCTATGCTATGGACAACAAGTCAGAAATTCACTTCAAAACTGCTGAGCACAGCGTATGTTTGTACTGTAGCTGCTATTCTGAGATGGACCTGCAGCCTCTTTCCATCTGCCACATCTGCACGACATGGGGATGGAAAGGGGTCGGCCCACAGGAGCAGACAGAAAAAGCAAGCTGCCCCCTCCCTGCGCTGCAGGAGGACTCCGGCCCGCGAGGAACCTCACAGTGCCATCGCCTTCGGGCCCCCACACACCGACAGGATACCAACATCCTCCTCTCAGCTAGGTTAATGCTGAACTTAACACTCTGCACCTCATTATCTTCCTGTTCTTCCCCTGTGCCTTAAATTAAATTTTTCTTAGGGACCAAATGCTCAGATCACAGACTCACAGGTAGTTATAGGGCTCTGAACGAACACTGTGGCAGAGAGCATTGAGAAAACCCACAGCCGTGCTCTAAGATTTGTGGGATACTCAGGGGTCACAATCTCGAGGTATGTGGTTGCCCTGTAGATCCCTTTCCCAGTCCCCATTTTATGGAAAATACCGCAGGAAACACTAGGAATTTATTTTCCAAACTACTTCAGTTTACTGAAATACCATTTCTAATGCATGGTTATTTTATACAAATCTGAGTTACATCTGTGCACATATACAAGCATTCTCCAAATTAAAGTTGATATATTTGCCTACAATTAAAGCTCTACAAAAAAAAAATATTCCTTCAAAACTTTTCTCAGAAGTCCTCTCCAAACACTGTTATGAAATTCTAGAACATGTTGCAGAGCTTTAAACCAGTCACTTCAGTGCTCAGACCTAATTAGAAGAATGTGCACTTGATACGAAACAAGAGTTACCATAAGAGATGCAGGACTCATAAATATGATCCATGTGTACGCTTCTTTTTGCTACGACGACTGATAGGTTGAGTGGCGATCGTGGGAGAAAGTATTTGGCACAATTATTTTCTGCAAGCTTTCCAAGCCCTTTATGTGTACTTTATATAGTGTATCAGTGTGCTTTTCACTTAACTTCAATGGTTTGATAAAGATTGTTAAATATAAACTTGGCTTCTTTTTCTTGGAGAATTTTATAAGCTCTGAGTGAGCCAGTACATCAACAATACCATATTCTCAACATTCATGAGCCAAGTTCTTCACAGATACATGAATGTGGGGGGAAAAATTTAATAACTGACTTAAGACTGATTTCTTTTCAGCTTTTTAATCCTTTGGGAAAACATTAGGACTTTTTTTTCCCTTTACTTGCTAGTTGTTGAGTTTAGGAGTACAAGAGATGGTGTGCACACATGTCAGGTTATTTTAATTACGGAATAATCACTGTTTTAGTGTTACGAAACCAAAACAAAACATGAAGTGCAGCTTCATGTTATTAGTAATTGTTATTACTATTAAGAATACAGTGTTCTGCCTTACAACAAACACTGCGCTTTTATGCGGTTCCGTTCCACACAATAATCATGACCAAGCTTCCCATTTGTGAAGAACAACAATAACAACAAAAAAGGACAAAGATTTTTTGACTGAATCGTTACGATTGAAAGTTGTTAAATTCCACTTCCAAAAAAACCCCACAAGCGACGAGATCTCACGCTGAATTAGTAGAAAATAGCTAAAAAGAAGGGTAGTCCAGAGGTCAGTCAGATTTAGTAAACAAGAATACGTCCGGTTTTCCTCCAGCAAAGACTTGACATATGCTGGGCTAAAAAGAAGGGGCAACAGAGAGGTACACATCACCCTTTTATCTGCACAGCCGCAGTGTCCAGGATATGTTGCCTAAAACTCCACAGACTCAAATTTCACAGAATTATTTCAGAAAGGGCTTTCATGGACTCTCCCACCTGTCTCTACAGTACCATTTGCCTAAGAGGGGAGAGATGGTGCTAGCGTGCGGCCACTCTGAAGTCCAATCTCGCACTTCTCAGACAGTTGCTTGTTAACTTTGACCTAAGTCAAACATCTAATTATATATCTTTCTGAAAAGCAACCTGCCTGCTTTTCTACGATTCAGGAGGTGCAGAGCTCCAAGTGAGTTTCAGGGAAACACAGCTGAAATAAGTAGTCTACAGAAGCTTGCATATCAGATCTGGGGATAAAACTAGCTGTAAGATTGACGGAGGGTGTGATTTGTAAGACTCCTAGATCTTAGGATTTAGCTTCAGAGTACAAACAGAACAAAGTGCCTATCTTAAATGCTTAAATATTACGACAAACACATTTTAACAGGTGCCAGAACAATGAAGACAAAAGGAACGCTACTCTAATGATATCAGGGAATAACAAAACTCACATTCTTTGCTTTTAGCATTTCTCTTTATTCAACAGCTTCAAGGATCACATAACTGCATTTACTGCACTAAGGACTTTTCAGTCATTGAAGGGGGAGCAGAAAAAAAATCAAGTTTTATTCCAATCTTTAATTTTTTTTAGTAGTTGTTATGAGAAAAGTCTCCTAATTCTAATCTTTTCAGCTCCACTAAGGGCTAAGAAGGAAAATTGCTGAACTATCTTTTTAATACAGATACGGAGTTTTGTTCTTGCTCAGCTGATATCTAGTATTAGGCTTTGTCTTTAAGCTTATGCTTTTAATGCTTATCACCCAGATCCTGATGGTAGCAGAAATTCATAGTCTTATCGAGAAGTACTTTCTATTTGTTAGAGACTTTATCCATTTGAGTAACCAGAAAAGATTCCTCTGTACTTCACTGTACTTTGTAGCAGTCCTGAAACAGTTAAATATTAAGCCATCACTGCATTCCTCCCTCATTGCCATTCCCCCCATATCCATATCAGGAGAAGATTATCCTTGGTGCCAGATTCCACTGTCTGCATCTGACTAAGTGGTTCAAAGGCCAAGTGTAGGAATTCCATCTTAAATAATACTCATTTTTTTGTTCTCTGAAAAAGCAGCTCCCCAAAGCCACTGCAGGCACTTTTAGAAAAGGGGTAAAGCAGCTAAAGAAACACAACAATCCAATACCTTTCAAAAACTGCAAAGGCATTTAAAGAACATTATCAGCATTATTATCATTTATGCTCTTTGGCACCACGGAACAGACCAATTTCACTGGTCCTCAGCTGATTTCAAGCTGAGCAGCACATTCAAGAGTGCTCTGAAGTGAAAGCTTAGGATGAGTTTACTCAGCGCGTGGTACAGCAGGTCAACTAACAATGAAGGGAGAAAACAGGGAGCAACGAGTCACCAAAGGTAAGCTCAGGAAATGGTTAAATAATGAAAAACTAAAATTTGAGAGAGGCTTGCAGAAAACAAGTACACTTGCCCAGGCGTGTTTCCTCTCCTGATGTGGACCAATCCGAGACCAGTATGTTTGCAGCAGTAGGACATCCACCAGTGTACAGTGCACCAACTACCCTTTGCCATGTATTGCCGAACAGAAGTACTGCCTATTGATACGGCTAAGCAAAGCAGCATCTACTGTCATGCTGCTTTGTTAAAGTCTGGCTAAGACTTCAGAGCCTGAAGGGCGGGGGGGGGGAGGAAGGAAGAAGTCCGTGCATCACAAGATAACCTAGTTTAAAAACACAACTATAATTTTGAGGTCTTCAGCAGATGCTACGGGCTGGAAGATCAGAATTGCCAGTGGTTGCTGGCTACACTGCTCTCTGTGCTGGGTTTTGCCCATCCTTGTGTGATAAAACACTACGTTTTGTGACTCTCTGGGATGCAACAGCCCTTGGCAGCCATCTAAGAAGACAACATAACTTCTGAAGACTTTACAAAACTGAAGTCCTACTTCATGATCTAAGTGGGCCTAACATCAATTTCCTCCTCTGTTTTCCAAGACAACGAGTGTTATAAGATGACTGAATTGCTGCCTGCATTGTCCTATGGGAAACAAATAAAGGCAGCAAGAACAAGGTTTTCTCTTCTCTTCTCTTCTCAGGGAGGCATATGGGGACCAAAGTGCAAATTCATTTTTGAGAACTAGTTTCTTTGCTGCCTCAACTGGAGAAGCAGATGATGTGGGGAAATGAACCTAAAGAGGCTCAGGATAAGCCAAATGAATCCACAACCCAGGAACACTACAAAGACACCTGATGTAGGTGAGATTAAACCAGCAAGTTTTAAGGAAGCTGAAGGAAGTAGCTGAGAGAGCCCCTTCCCTGTGGAAATACTGAGGCAAATGAAAAAATCCGCAAAATGAAAAATCTGCCATCCTGCAGAACAGCTGCAGCCTCACAGAGTCAGGCACCTTACTCTACAAGCAGTGCTTTCCTTGACAAGGTAACACATTCTTCTGGAACATAACTCTTTTGCACCTGACTCTAGGTTTCAAATCCTAAACAAATGCTTTTGCATACTCAGTACGTAAACGCCTCTGGACGAAGAGAAGCTGAGAGGGGACACCAGTGACCACTACCTAGGTGATACTTTCAAAGCTGCCAGAAGAGAAAAGAGAGGGGGAAAAAGAGCAGAAAGGAGAGCAAAAGAGATAAAAGAGAGCGGATAAAAGAGGCCAGCATCATGAAGGATCACACTGCTAGCCCCATGCAAATTCCTACCATGAATATGCCTTCAGTCACACGGTTATGTCACACACATGTATATCAAGTATATTTGTAGCAGGGATAGAAGAAATAATATGCAATTAAAGACACGCTGATTGCTCGATCTGAGGAGCTATCTGTCCCTGTATGACCTACTGAGGCCACTAACAGTTGCTTGTGCTTGACTCCGAATCCTGCTGTATTGTGCACTGAAGTCTTGGAAGCTATGTATGTATATCACAAACCTCAAAGGGTGGCAGCTGACCTAAATAAAGAGTTGATAAACACTTTGCAAAGATCATTTTTGTCCTGCGCTTGTTATATGTACCACAATGTAAGCTTACAACCAGAAAACAAACTTGAAAAAACTTTTACTCTCCTACCTTCCAAACCCCTATATCTGAAGCATATGTATTGAAAGCATTAGCTTCAAAATCTGGCTTCTTGGGAGAAAAAAGATAGACTAATTGTAAATAATAAGCTTTATACAGATGATTGTTATGACTTCATGAAAATAGCTGAAAACTATCCCTCTGCTTTAGAATTCCAGAGAACACATGCAACATGAGACACCTGGGAAGTGCAATGCGAGAGTCTAAAATACTTTCTGCAGAACCCTGTATTTTTAACTATTGATTCACACTATATTAAATTTTGGGAGCCTTTACTATATTTCTTTTTAGAATTTTACATTAAAATGTTGTTAGCTTTTTAACTGAATATATTGTTTAAAAAATAACCTTGACAGAGCCAAAAGCACACTCCTCTGATTAGTACCAGGATTTACCTTCCCAAATACTAAATCAGCTTTTGTCTCCATTTTAAATTTATCAAACGGTCTACAACAGATAAAACGTCAACAGGGAAGACAAACTGTTTTTTACAAGGAACAAGATATTTCACTGTGTAGTGACCTAAGAGAACACAGCCCAAGAAGTTACCACACAGATGCCAAAGCAACCGGAAAAAAAACCTCCCACATTGCCTGTACACCTGCTCTCAGACAGCAAACTTCTCCTCCTACTACATTGCTTCAGCACCTTTATTGTACCATCAAGCTGAAGGAGAAAGGCTGATCCAGCACACCCTCCCCGTCTCTAAAATTAGCGGCAGAACCAAAGAAGAAATTGGGTGTTGAGTATTTCTTGGCAGATATGTGAAACTCTGTATGTGCCAGTAATGTCTTCTGTGGTATGAACTAAAGCTGGCGCAGAAATGCTGCTGTAGATTTCAGAGAAGCTCTTAAAACAACACGTGTTCATGCTATGAGTATCTTTACTATCTTCAGCTTTTCATGTATCCGTTTTCATAGATGCAGTCCATAAAATTAGTCTCTATGTTATTTTTATGCAATTTTCCCATTGCTTAGTCATAAACATCCACGACTATTTGAATTCATACAGTATAGGTGACATAACAGTCTTTAGGTAATCAGACATGGTCCGACTTCTTACCAGTCTTAAAGCTAATGAAATATGCTTTCTAAGAGTGACTCTCAACTCCCTGAATTTGAATCCATTGACCATTTATGAGTTATGTTGCATTTCAGTACTTTTTAATAAAATGTCTTTCATTTCTCCAAAACTTCTGTCCGAAAGCATAATTAGGTTAAGCACTTGTACAGGACAATATACTCACAAATAATTTCAGGAAGTAAAAAAACGAAATTTTTGGTTGAATAGATTCAGAACTTCCTCCCCACATTTTTGTTAGGTAATAAAATCAATTATTTGTGCAGCTTTACCATATGACCTTTTTCAGTGTCATGTCTTTGTTCTCATTGATAAAGTGTTCCAAAAAACTCAAACGGTACAGTGCATACTTTCACCTCGCTGCACCTGCAATTCTGATAAGTGAAAGGATATGTATATTACTTACTGAACACATCTCCTCGGGGTTTCTGAGGCTCTCTCTGGATCCTGTTGTCATCTGTAATTCCTTGGGAAGATGTAGTTTCAATAGGAATGTATGAAGGCTCTTCAGTTGTTATCAGAGGAGTTCTTTGTGGTGGTAGTGTAGGTCTTAATGTTGTAGACTGAGGTGGTGTTGGAGGTGGAGGCCTCGTCACTGCCCTTGTTGTCAACGGCACATACCTAGTGGTTGGCTTTGGCGTCGGTCGAGTCGTTGGCCTGGGTGTAGGTCGAGTCGTCGGCCCGGGTGTAGGTCGAGTCGTCGGCCCGGGTGTAGGTCGAGTCGTCGGCCTGGTGACCGGCCTTTCTGTAACAGTAAGAGGTACATATGGTGGTCTGAGGGGTTGCTTTGTGCCTCCATCAGAATCCTATTGATTATACCACTGCCTCCCTTGGGAAGTGTGCTGTTGCCCTTGATTATATGACATGGACCAAGTGGTTCAATCATAACATTAGGAATAACTGTGAAGAGAATCAAAATGGGACCAAAATGGACATCGGACACTCTTGCTCCAGAAACTCGGCAATGTATTTCATTATGACATGGAGTGTCTTTGCTGAAATCATTTGTCTTCTGAACGTTTCCACTAATAAGAAACATACTTTAACATCAGTATTGCTGAATTATCACATCCCTTTACGTAGTACTTCTCATTACAGCAGTTTAAAGATGATTTAGAATGGCTGAAGGCCAAGAGACTTCCATCCCCACCTCCTCCCAAGCATCAACTCTCTTTCAGAGGTGGTAAAACTCACACAAGAGCACTGCTAGTAAAAAAGTGTGGGCAGGGAGATGTGTGTTAAGCAGCCCTCTAAACTGGACAAGTTTGTACTCAGGAGTGGAAGCAAGTTTAGTAAGACCCCAATGTTACAACCATTTTGGTCATGAATAAGCAGATACCTTTGGCTTAAGAAAATTATTTTTCAGACCTCTCCATCTAAACTTTTCCCTGTGTCAATAAGCATTAATCATTTTTCAGAGATTGAACCTAAGTCCATAGCCTTCATTTAGATCTTTACCTTTGCTAAACACCAGGAAACTAAGTCAATGGCATTTTTTCAGCCTCCACCAAAAAAAAGGGTGAACTGAGCCCCACCTACACCACAGTGGCAGTGCCTACAGTACCATATCCCCCAAAGAAAGGACAACAAATTTCAACTTGGTTTCACAAGGGGAGTTTCTGCAGACATGAAACGCAAGAACATCTGTTTTGCTATTTATAATTTTCTATTTGTTATAAGCCTTCTATATCTCACTGGAGATCTTAAAAGCCCCAATAAGAACTCCAGTCCCATGTTTTGTGTACAAGTGTTTCAGGTATAACACACAGTTAAAATTAAGAACTACTGTTTGTTAAACAATGAATTGTTTGATGATAGCAGGTAGAAAGTTTTTCTCTCAGGCCACCTGTTTATTACTATTCCTTTAAATACCCTGTGCTTTTTACATTATGGTATATTGAAATAAAAAATGCACCTTAGGACTATGTCCCAGTAACACATATGAAGTGTGTCCACGCATAATTGCAAGCACTCAGGTTGTGAAAGATCAGCTTAGCCGGATCACACTACTGTGACAGCTACAATAATGGTACTGCTCTTTAAAGAGATCAGTAAGTCACCAAAGACCAGAACCCACGTATGAACACAGGGTCCTTGAAAAGATTCAGCAGATGTCATAGAGCTGCACAGTCCTGAGGGATGTCAAAGGTGGACGAGGTCCAATAGCCTACTCTGTACCAAGGGGCACGACTGCTTCTCCCAAGAGGAAGGTGAGGAAGGCAATTCTCCACCAGGGAATTCTTCCAGAGAAATCCTCCCTCTCAGCTCTGCTCACCTCTGGGGAGCAGCGGGGAGTGGATGGGTTTAGCTGCTGAAATGGGCCAGTTGCAGAGTGTACATAATAACAGGGTATGAGTAATACGTACTGTTTGACCAGACCTACCCTGCTTACTCAGTTGTTCTCATCCTGAAGCAATCTCCAGAATGAAGCTGTGAATAAGGAGAGGTGAATTTCTTTCTAATTGTGAAAATGTCTCAGGGAAAGGTATTTTTACCAAGGCATGCTAAGACTCAGGAAACTCTGACTACATTCCCTGGCCTCTTACTAAGTATTAAAAATAGTTAAGAGAAACTGAGCCTGATAGTGCTGTATCTCAAAATTTACAACATGGGACACATTTACTTTCAGAATTCCTTTTTTAAAAGGAGCATTACATACGTATGCAGTTTGTTCCATTGTCTCTGTAGCCTTCTTTACACTTGCATTTGTAGGATCCTGGTGTATTGTAACATCGTGAAAAACTACCACACTGATGGTGGCCAAGAGAACATTCATCTATATCTGCAACAGAAGTCACATAAAAAAAAAATCATTTATATCAAAGAAACTTGACTTTGCACTTATCCCTGCAAAAACACAAACAGTAGTATGGTCATAAGGAAAATACTAATAATTTTGAAAATTTTAATAAAACTGAATTGCCAATGGGAAAGAATACGATAGAGAGTCACAAATCAATGTGGTGATAGAAATGTTAGGGTCAAAGGGACTATTGTGCAACTCTGGTATTGCTCAGCTTAGACCTTAGCATCAGTTTCAGTGGTGTGCTGTGGGTAGACAGCAGTTGAGATCATGAAGATCACAATTTTAATAACCATTTCTTAAAGGTGACATGATAAGAAAAGAAAAACTGAGCATAGGAATATGCATGTTCTTAATCACACCAGTATTAAACTATTTTTTCATAAAATGCTTCCTCTATTATAAATCCATATAGCTGTTTCTACATCAAGTAGAGTCTGCTTGAAACATCTTATATGGTATTTCCAGGTTTGTTGCTAGTGATGCAAGCAAGAATCTCCAAATTCCCAAGCTCTGCATAGAGATTTCTCTCAAAAAAAAAAAATACTTAAACAAACATAAAGCAATGCCTCATTATCTCCACATGATCCTTTTTTCAGTGAAAGGATCATAACCAGTTGAGGCCCCAGGAAACTAAAACAGTGGGACCTGGGAACATCTTTGTTGAAGGGCATACACCAGCTGCATTCCAGTCGCATGTCCAGACAAAGACAGGTTATTTCCCAACCCCTGCCTTTCCCCCACCTGTCTTCAGGGGAAGGAAAGTTGGGCAGTCTGGGTTGGAAGGAACTGGGGTGTGCTCTAGCCACATTTTCTTATCTCGGATCTTGGGGCATGCTACAGATCACACCTGCGTTACAGCTCAGACATAGCCTAAGCTCATACACCACTCCAAACATACAACTGCCTGTGCACAGTGAAACCTGTGGGGACAAAGGCTTTGGAAAGGAATTCCCGGGGTCATCAGCTCTGCTCTCCCACTAGCTTCCACAGGAGAACGAGTTACAAGAATGAAGGCCAGATATATGCTTTCTTTTCCACAGTCTGTTTCTATAATCTACCCTTACCTAAAATACAGTGCAACCTAAAACAACCGGCTTCAAGATTTCAGCCATAAGAAGTAACCATTCTTCTTTAAACCATTAATTTCAGTTTAGAATATGCAGCTCTGTTACATGCACATAAGAACTAAGTTGTTATTACCATGGCATTGGTATTTGCCTCCGATGTACATAAGATCAAAGCCTTTATGACACCTGCAAATGTAGCTTCCAAAAGTATTGACGCAGTGCCTAAATCGTGGACAGATAACTCTCCCAGTAGCACATTCATCGATATCTGTGGAAAGAAAGGAACTGTATTATTCTTAATAGCAGCTAAAATAAAATCTATACTATATAAATTAAACTGCTTTCACATAATGAAAAACTAAAGAAGAACAGCCAAAGTATTTTTAATAAGGTCCTCTTTGCTACAAGCTGGTCAGCCAGCAGTAATATCTGAGCACTTCTTCTGGCTGTGCCATCTCGGTTCAGCTCTTGGTCACACCCCCAAATTTTTATGCCTCCTGTGCCAGAAGCCTTTACAAATGCTATGAGTGACAAGAGATGCACTGTCATAACGAGCATTGCTACTGAATTTGGAATACTTGCTTTATGCTCTTGCCATCCTGGTACCCTTCCCCTTAGAGAGGAGATGTTCTCTAATTCCCCACAGATCAGACGACAGCTTCTTCAAGGCCACAAAACACTCATCCTTAAAACTGTAATGGTACTTGCCTGAAGAAAAGCTCTTTTGTGTTATTTGTATAACTCACTTTTGTCCCACTAAGTCCTGTCTGGTTATAAAGACAGCACCTGGATTTAGAGGCAAGGAATAATAATAAAAACTACCCCAGTAATTCTGTTTCTGAAACATGCCTAAAATATTGTTCCTGTAGCACAGGTCGTACATGCATATTCAAAGTACATCGCCCTGCAGTAGAAAGTGGTTTGTTTTTTTTAAATCTCAGGTGTCCCTAATCCTCGACCTGCCCATTAAGCCTATCAGGAAATCTTCATCAAATTAATGCCAGTGGTGCAGTATTTCTGGGCCTCCTACCAGCTAGTTACCGCAGGCCAAAGGCTTTTTGAGTACCTGCTCTTTGCAGTCTCTTACCCTGCAAAGTGCCTGCGCTGTAGCTGACCCCTCTTTCACAGAGAAACTGGTTACCTAAGTGACCTTAAAATATCTCTGAGGTGCTGAGATACATGGCTCCCATTTGCCCTGCCAGGGGCTCCCAGCAGGACCTGAAGCTGTGCTTCAGTAAGCAACATCCAGGCAAGGACAGAGGAGTGGGAAGACACGGGTGATGCTCAGTAAATGTCTGATGCCCCTCATCTCCCAGAAGCTGCTGTTCTTCATGCTGACTAACAAGCCGGGCAGAGGCCCAGAGAGCCAGTGCTCACCCAGTGCTGCTTTTGCCGTCTGGGAAACTCTCAGACGAGGTCAGGCTGACACACAAAACCTGCTTGAGCTCCCACTCACTTTGTAGCCCTTGGACACCGAGCTGAAGCCTGCTGAGTGCTTCAACCCTAATTCTTCACTGAGTTAGAGACCTGCCGTGCACGGCTGCCTCTGACGCACGCCGCTCCTGAGGTTTGTTGGTTATCTACAGGGCACAGTTCAAGCCTTTGCTCTGCAGCTCTATCAGGCTCTTGATCTATGGGAAAGCAAGATTTTGCTCTCCATGCAATTCTTTTCCCAGAAGGAGCACTTCAGCTGCAGGTGTCGAGAGTGCAAAACAAAGCTGAGTGATTGATGCCCTGCTGCTTGTGAAAGAGGTCTGAACAAGGCAGAGAGAGGCCCGAGTCTCTTGTGCAGCACAGAAAAAACATTATCACAAAACCGCCGGTGAGTTCGGGCAGCTACCTGATATGCAGGGGAGATGGAGCTTCAAATTCTCCAAGCTGCTTTTCCCACAGCCAAAAGAAGTGACCTAAAGCCATGAATTACTGGGCTGGATGGGCTCTCCCAGTAGCTGGCACGATCCCACTCTGCATGAAGAATAGTTACTGAGGACAAAAAGGATTCAACCCCTCAGCTCCCACACTCCAGGCCCATCAGACCGCTCCAAAATAACAGCTCGCCTTTACTCTCAGACGGGAGCACTTCTACAACGCCATGGTAAAGGCCTGAATGAGAAAGAAAATGAGGCCAATACTAGGCACCGCTCCACACGCCTGACTCCCCCTATAAATCTGCCTCTTGTTTTTAATCTGTTATTTAATCTGTTATTAATGTTTGAGGTTTTGAGTACATTATCAACAGCTTTACAAATTCTACTGTGTTCCTTACAGTCATTTAATTTACAAGCCACAATTTTCTACTCTTTATTAAAACATTATTTCAAGGCTGCAAATTTCAGACTCGATTACTATTAGGTTTTGGGGTTTTTTGGTCTTTAAACCACAACTTTAAAAAGGAATTCAGTAAGAAAAATATTAGCCACTGAATATACATCATCATGACATGGATCATGTTCTTTAAAACCTAGTGATTTCCCAGAAGGCAAGAAGTATGTTAGATGATGAGAGCACTGTAGCAGTATTGTTTAATTTTCTAGGCAGTTATCCATCCTAAAAATACAGGACTGAACTGCTAATCAATACACTGTTGAAAACTGACACAAAAATAATGGGAAAAAAGTAGCAGTCTACTGCTTGCATTTAGTATGAGAGGTGGGTGGATGCTCGTTACTGGTGGGAAACCCACTTTTCGATCATTAGCTAGAAGACGGTATGCACGTGCTTACAATTAGTTTTCTGCAGTTTTCAAACAGTACAGTGAGTGTGGCTTCTTTCAAGTCTGTGGACTGTGCCAATTCACACCTGGGCACAAATGGCGTAAGGCGGTTTCCCTTCGCCTGCTGCAACATGCTGCGGCTCATGCCTGCTTCCTGTGAAAACCAGGGCATGAAGGGGCAATTTGTATTCTGATCTCAGCCTGGTCTGCCATGGAGGCGCATGTCCAGACTTAGAGCAAGGGAGCTGCTCCCAAGGCACGTAACACAGTGTCACACACCTAGCGTGTGTGATGGTCGCTGTTCAACAGAGAAGCACAATTACAAAACCTTGCTTCTCTCTGGCTGTGAGTACGACCACGTTACGAACTCAAGCACTAAACAACTATGAGACTGATTTAAAAATAGCATGATGTTTAAGTTTACAAGGTCACATTTTCAAGTTTCTATACACAACCAAAACGACTAGAAAGAATTCATTTTACAGTGAAAATAATTATTTTCAGTCCTCAAATAATTTCAAACCTTCTGAACCTGAAAATGTGTATACTGCTGATTTCATTAAATTAAAATCCCAATCCAAAAAACCGGCAACACTGATTGATTTATTAATTCAAGAGTCCTTAAATTAATCAATTAGCCAATTAATCTGTATTTTCACTGACTACTTTGCTGAATTCTTTTTCACTTCACTGTTATTTAGTTTATATGATTTACCTTCATAATCAAATTGTTTGGCAGGTCTTTACTGATTGTCTGGAAGGAACATTTTAACAAAAGAATGATCAGCATGGGTTAAACTAAGAATAGAATAGTGCCTAGAGGAATTTCCACCTGTGCTAAAAATAAGCATTACATTCCCAGCTGTTTTTCAAAATCTCCTTAAACAGGATTTCATGAGCTGCAGCCAATGCACACTTCAATTTTTTTACCATCACCTACACTTCTGTTTATACTGCAGCAATACCCAGACCCTCGCTGGAGCCAACGACCTCCCCAACAGTGATGTGCTTATACACATGTGAAGAAAAGGAAAATCTTAGCCCCAAATACCTTCAATTCTTGGAAGTATTTACTGGTTTTAGTACAACTCAAACTCGATAGGAAAACAACACAGTAAGGCTGCATGTCACCATCACCTAAAGAGGGGACTACATCACGTTATGACCCATGAAGGACATACATCTCTGGCTGTGACTTTCTCTGTATTGTGCAAGACTGCTCTGAAATTTTTGTGCAAAGTTTTAAAAATAGGTTATGAGATCAATCTGAATGATGCACACTCAACTGAAATATGGGTACACAGTTCTTCACCAGTCTGGGGAAAAAAAGGTGGTTTTTTGAAAACTACTGAAGAACTGAAAGACCTTCATATAACTGGTTTGAGTGCTAGCCTTTGGCATTAAAAGTCCACTTTGTTTATTTCAAAGTATGAAGTTTGCCTGAATATAAAAGTGCAGACTAGGAGACTCTTGCAAGTATTTTCCTAGCAAATTTCTGTACTTGGAATAACTTCCTTGAATTTATACTTAAAATCACTCAGTTCACTATGGCATGGCACAACTCTCTTCCAAAGATCTCTATGCCATAATGTCCACAGTGTGACTAATCACAATTGAATCCCTTCAGCATGTGACAATAGTGGTGGTTTTTTTCTCCTGTTCTATCCATTCTTTGGCATACATAAATGTGCCAGTAATGCACTTCATAGAATCACAGAATGGTTTGTGCTGGAAGGGAGCTTAAAGATCACCTAGTTCCAACCCCCCTGCCATGGGCAGGGACACCTCCCACCAGACCAGGTTGCTCAAAGCCCCATCCAGCCTGGCCTTGAACACCTCCAGGGATGGGGCATCCACAACTTCTCTGGGAGACCGGTTCCAGTGTCTCACCACTCTCACAGTAAAGAATTTCTTCCTAATATCTAATCTAGATCTACCCTCTTTCAGTTTAAAACCATTACCTCTCATCCTATCACTACACTCCCTGATAGAGTCCCCATCTTTACTGTAGGACCCCCTTTAGGTACTGGAAGGCTGCTATAAGGTCTCCCCAGAGCCTCCTCTTCTCCAGGCTGAACAACCCCAACTCTCTCAGCCTCTCCTCACAGGAGAGGTGCTCCAGCCCTCTGATCATCTTCATGGCCCTCCTCTGGACTCACTGCAACAGGTCCATGTCCTTCTTATGTTGGGGGCTCTAGAGCTGGATGCAGTACTCCAGGTGGGGTCTCATGAGAGCAAAGTAGAGGGGCAGAATCACCTCCCTCGACCTGCT